GTGGCGGCCAAGCTTCCCCCTTGTCAAGGCTATTTTTTCACTACCATCAAGCCTGTGGCCTTGGTCATGGTGGTTCTCACGGTCGTCACTGTCTATCATATCACCCCCTACCCTAGCATCCCTTTGGAGGTTTTGCAATTCATTGACAGGTTGTGGAAGGCCTTTCTTTGGGTGGGATCTGACAAGGTCTCGGCTGGGAAATCCAAAATTAAATGGGAGATGGTGTGCCGGCCTACCATCTTTGGTGGCCTTGGGATCCTGCACTTGGGCAATTTCTCTCGGGCCCTACGCCTCGGTTGGCCTTGGTTCGAGTGGCCCGCGCCGGAGAGAACATGGGTGGGCACTGGCAACCCTTGTGATAGCTCGGATATGGTTCTCTTCCATGCTCTCACCATTGCGATGATCGATGATGGCGCTAAGGCGAGCTTCCAGAACTCGCCATGGGTCAACGGAATGCAACCTAAAGACATTGCTCCTTCCATTTTTTGACATCTCCACGCACAAAGAAGAACGACCGAGTCAAGGATGCCCTTGTGGGTGATCTTGGGTGAATATCAATGAACTTCCAACAGCCTATTTATGCTACATATCCAGGAGTTCTTCAACCTTTGGTCCTTTACGTCTCAGGCACAGCTTGTTGACGGCCGCCTGGACTTAATTGTGTGGAAGCTCGGGATGCTACTTTGCGGCTTTAGCATGGTGTGGAAGATTTGGGCTCCTCCCAACTGCAAATTCTTTGTGGCTAATCATACAAAATGGGTTTGGACGCCAGGCAGATTGGCTAAGTGCGGGTGACCAAAATGTGGCACCGTTGAGTTGGTTGCTCATATGAGATTCCAATGCCGTTTCTCCCTCTAGATTTGGAACTTGGCCCGTGATTGGCTTGGCCACCATTGCTTTCATTCTACCTTCTGGAGGAGCATCGACAACGTTAAGGCTTGATGAGAACACTTCTTGCTTCAAAATCATGCTAACCGCAAGGGTATGGCGACGCTCGCAATGCTCATCGCATGCGAGATTTGGAACGAGTGCAACACAAGTGTGTTCAACCACCAATCCATAACACCACTAATCATCTTTGGTAGGATTTGTGCGGCGGCTTATATTTGGTAAGGCGGCTTATAAGTACTCCCGTTTTACAGATGAATACTTTGTGTTCCGCATATTAACCGCTTGATTACCACAGACCTGAGTTATGAAACTACATTGTGCACATTCAGACTAGCAGACACAGGCTTATTTTTTTTGTTACAATTTCTCTGAACTTTCTGAAGCAAAGTCTGTGCACATTCAGAGTTTCAGACTAACACAAGAAAACCAAGCAGCCTTCCCAGGCGAGGCCAGGCGCTGAAATTCCTTCTTATCCATCCAGAGACTCGAGCCGCGCTACCCCGATTGAGCCGAGCAACCAACAATGGAAACCGCTGCCGCGCTCCTCGCCCCTCTCCCCCGAAGCACCGCCGGCGGCGGCAGCACCTTCCCCGTGCTCTCCTCCAGCAACCCGTACCACCATTATCCCCAGCCCCACCACCCCATTTTCTCCGGCCTCCCCAGCCTCAGCCTCAGGGGATGCGCCTCTCGCCTCCCGCCCTGCCGCGCCGCCGTGAAGGAGGACGACGCCACGCCGCAGTGGCAGCTCGACTTCCTCGGGCCCGACCCTCAGCCGCGGTCCGGGAACGACGACGGCGACGACGACCCGCTCCCCGCCGCGAGCACCGACTGGTGCGTCCGCGCGCGCCGCTCCGCGCTGCGCTCCATCGAGGCCAGGGGCCTCACGCCGGCGCTCCAGCGCATGGTCACCCCGCCCAAGAAGAAGAAGAAGAAGAAGCAGAAGAAGAGGGTCCTCGGCAGGAAGCCCCGCAAGCACGACGCCGACGAGGAGGAGCCGCCGCTGGATGGGGACGAGTTCGACAGCGACGAGGAGGCGACCCTGGACGACCTCGACCTCCGGGTGGCGCAGCTCGGGGACGGGCTGTTCGACGAAAAGCGGCAGAGGAACCGGGAGCGCTTCATCCAGACGCTCTCCAGCTTCGCCGCCGCGCCGTCCAACCGGACCAAGGAGGTGGCCCTCAACAGGGACATCGTGCAGGCGCAGACCGCCGAGGAGGTGCTGGCGCTCACCGCCGACGTCGTCGCGGCCGTCGCCAAGGGCCTCAGCCCCTCGCCGCTCACCGCGCTCAACATCGCCACCGCGCTCCACCGCATCGCCAGGAGGATGGAGGCCGTGTCCATGGTGCAGACGCACCGGCTGGCCTTCGCGCGGCACAGGGACATGTCCATGCTCGTGGGGCTGGCCATGATGTCCCTCCCGGAGTGCTCGCCGCAGGGCGTGTCCAACATCTGCTGGGCCTTGTCCAAGATCGGGGGTGACCTGCTCTACTTGCCGGAGATGGATAGGATTGCCGGCGTGGCCATCTCCAAGGCTGACGATTTCAACGCGCAGAATGTCGCCAATGTCGCCGGAGCGTTCGCCACCATGCGCCAGTCAACACCAGGCCTTTTCTCGGCGTTGGCACAGAGAGCAGCAACACTGGTGCACACCTTCAAGGAGCAAGAGCTTGCTCAGTTCCTCTGGGGATGTGCTTCTCTTAATGAATGCCCCGGTCCTTTGCTCGACGCACTTGATGCTGCTTTCCAGGATGCTGCCATCTTCAAATGTAATGTCTATGATCCATCGTCGTCAGACATGCAGCAGAACGCTGCCAAAGAAGCTTTGAGCGAAGAATATGGTAACAATTCTCATGCGCTAAACTTTAGTCGAGATCAGCTTGGCAATATTGCTTGGTCCTATGCTGTTCTTGGGCAACTGGACCGACAATTCTTCTCACATATCTGGAATACTCTGAGCCAACACGAAGAGCAGAGAGTCTCTGATCAGTACAGGGAAGACATAATGTTCGCATCACAGGTATATCTTGCAAATCAGTCTCTGAAGCTTGAATATCCACATCTCAATATGGACTTAAGAGATGATTTGGAAGAGAAAATAACAAAAGCGGTGAAGAGCAAGCGCTTCAATCAGAAGACGACCTCCTTGTTCCAGAAGGATGTCGGACGTCTTTTACATAGCACCGGACATGAATGGGTTAGAGAATATACGGTGGATGGTTACACCGTCGATGCGGTGTTAGTTGATGAGAAGCTTGCATTTGAGATTGACGGAACGACACACTTCTCAAGGAATTTAGGTATCCTCTACTATTGATGTCTGTTGCTTTCTGTGCTTTACTTACCATTTCTGATAAAAGACTGTCCATTTTCTTCTTGTTTCCCTACTTGATTCTGCATCTCAAAGCAGAAACTAATGCAGATGTGTACCTGTTTTTCAGGCACACCATTAGGCCACACGGCATTTAAAAGGCGTTACATACCCGCTGCTGGATGGAAATTAGTTTCCTTGTCTCACCAAGAGGTTAGTCACACCTTGAAGATGGCAACCATTAGTAAATTTTACAAATTTATTGTTTAATCTGTCGTCGATTAACAAAGAAAATTCACAGCTACTCTATATTGTGCATATTTTCCAGAACTTCATATGCCACCATCTCAAATCAATGTTCTGTTTTGTTTTTCAAAAGAAATGGCTTCTCTCTATTATTCATGTTTATCTGTAAACTCACATGAACTTGTTGGACAGAAAAAAAAAGTTCTTGTTCTGCATTTTGTGCTCTCATATGAACTTTAGGGACATTTTAGTAGCTTGACTTGGATTTCAGCATTAGTTTTCTGAGTTCTCTGAATAAGTGAGAATATCTATTTTAAGAATTACTGTGATAATATATTAAGAGTTTCTTTTCCCTGACACTCATTAGTGTGTCATATTAATTAATCTATTGTCAATTCGCAAAGGAAATTCTTAACTCCTCCACAGCGTGACATATTTTCCAGGATTTCATATGCCACCATCTGAAATCAATGTCTTGTTCTGTTTTTTCTATAAGAAAAGGCTTCTCCGGTTCTCCCTATTACTCATGTTTATCTGTAATGGAGCTCACACGAACTTGTACCGGCATTTTGTGCACTCATATGAACCTTGACTTGGATTTCAGCATTAGTTTTCTTAGTTACCTGAATAGGTGAAAATATTTATTATATTAAGAGTTTGTTTTCCTTGACAATCACAGTGGGAGGAGCTTCAAGGTGAGACTGAGCAAATGGAGTATCTGAGGAGAATTTTAGGCATTGATGCAGAATAAGTGTAGCCGTTGGACATTTGACATCATGAGCTCTGCCAACACGAAGAACGCCCCTGGAATTGCATTTTCAAGCAATTTGTGGTGGATCCAACTTTGGGCTTTGCAGGGTGCGGTGTTTATTGGGCGCAACGTGTAGCTTCAAGACTTAGCGTGTCAGAAGCCGTTGGTGATGAGATATAGTTATGTTTTTGTTTTGTTTGGGACGCACGTGAAATATCTGTATACACTGAACTATTCTGTATCACATGATAATTTTTGGGAAACTGTTTGGTGCTGAAGCACATAAGCCTTGAAGATGTTGCCATAAGCCTTGAAGCCGTTGGTGATCAGGTTGCCATATGTTGCACTGCCTGAGAACTCTTGATGATGGCATGACATTGGAATGGTTTGATGCCAAAAATTGGCATGCCAACATTTGGCAAATGCCAAAAATGGTTGGTTACTATGTTTACTTGCCAACCTCACAAGAAGTTGCCCATTTTTGGCAATTTTTTATATTGTCAATTGTTGGCTTGCCAAGTATTGGCAATGCCCAATGTTGGCATCAAACCAATTATCCTCTTACACACCAAACAATTGATTCAGATGTGCATTGAGAACTGAAAAGTGAAAATGGACTATAATCTGGTCCTTATGTCTGATGTGTAAAAGGCTCAAGTGTTGAACTACAAGTGTAAATGTCGAGTGTTGGTTTACAAGTGTTGAACTACAAAGAAAAAGGCACATGGTAAGGTAGCCAGTACATAATGCAACATTGACAAATATGTTCTTGAATCTTGACTGCAGCATTGCAAATGAAATGTTTCAATCGTCCGTGAGAAGCCTCTGCATTATGAGCTCCACGACAGCAGGGGCATCGACCGTGACAGCAACCTTCACGGTAGGCTTACCACACCACGCTGTTATCTCCCCATACGTTTTCTTGGTATTGTCGAAAACGGTGAGACCCTTTGTGATTCCATCCGTCTGAACCCTCACCACTCCTTCCGTGTAAGTCATCAGCGACGGATCTACGGCGGCAAGAAGAGTTGTGGGATCATGAAGATATACTCCTGCAACCATTTCATCATACTCACAAAATCAGTCATTCAAGTCTCTTTAGTTGTTCAGCTTCTCATCATCAAGTGATCCATCCAAGTTAAGTGTGTACTGACTGGCTGCTTTCATACTGACCTGTTATGGAGTAGGCGTCCATGTGATAATCATAATAATAACCCAGTATATTGCTCAAGTAGCGAGCATATTTGCTATCGGACTGTTCAAGCTTCTTCCGGTCAACATCTGCAGACATGTCAAAATGTTATGTTTTCTAATACATGGCAACTGTCAATATCAAACATAGATTCATCCAACAAGAGGTGGTACATCTATGCAACCTAACTATCTGTAGTCATCCATGAAGACCAAGTGACAACTAAATTTAAATCATTCCGAGCGAACAAAGCACTCGGTGTCAAAATGGGTGCCTTCATTCTTCGAAAAGATATCTTCTAAGCTAGTATAGTTGGTAAAACAACTAGAACCGAACTCATGCCTTATGTTATTAACCAAAGGTTCACACTGTTGCTGTTAACCCCTGTATGATTAACTCAAGCAAAACATATGATATAATCACAAGGAAAGAAGAATATATCCCACTATATATGAAACCACAATTAGTATCATGTTGCTATTTTCAGCTCTGCTATATAACAAGGTCTCAAAAGTAACAAGATACAGAAACAACTCCGGACAGCAAGAGAATTACCAGAAAGGAGTACTTGGTGCGTAATGTTAATTCCGATGGCCAAAATATCCGCACCGCAGGTAAAAACTATATCAGCCGCATCAGGATCGCCAAATATCTGTTTAATCGAGATAACCAATTAACCAGTGAAGGCAAGATGATGAATTGTTGGAATTGCAGCTTGCAATTTGTAAATCAATGCTCTGAAAGAAGAAGCTGGTGACATAAAGTGTGTTGTTCTCTGAATTTGAAGGGAAACGTGACAGGACAACATCATCTAACAAGAATCTGATAGGACTAACTCACATTTGCCTCAGCTGCAGGGTTGACATTTCCATTAACTGAATATGCGCCACCCAGGATAATAATCTGCCCAATCTTCTTTGGGAAAGAGGGGTCAAGCTCGACAGCCAGCGCAAGGTTGGTGAGGGGTCCGAGGGCGACGACGGTGACCTGTCCGGGGTAGAGATTCGCCTGCTCGACAAGGAAGGCGGCGGCGGACTGGTCCAGCGCCTTGCCGGCCGGCGGAGGGAAGTTCTGGTTGCCGAGGCCATCGGAACCGTGGACGAAGCTAGCAATCCGTAGCTTGGTGGCTTTCTGAATTTTATTCACGGTGGAGCACACAGACATTCAGTTTCAGTTAACAGGGACTTCTTGACTGATGGAGATGTCAGCAATTAACTGAATGAGATGCTGTACACGCACATACATTTCATACATAATCTGATGAACTAAGGGTACCTTGATTGTTACATGGGATCCCTCTGCGACGGGGATGTCGGTCCTCCCAGCGGTCTCCAGCTGAAATCAAGCTAGAGATGGACTCGATTAGCATCAGAAAGATCCACTCATGAAAGCTGAAAGTCAAAATGCGAGCGAGGGAGTGGAGTGGGGTGGGGTGGACCGACGAGGTGCAGCGCGTTGCGGGTGGCGAGGGCGGTGTAGACGTTGCCGAAGATGGTGGTGAGTCCCACCACCTCCAGCTCCGGCGACCTGAGCGCCACGAAGATGGCCATGGCGTCATCTGCGGTTCGTCCATCCCCGGCGAATTCGCAATGCAAGATCCATAAGGAGGGGGATATGATGATAATAAATCGAGAAAAACAAGAGGAGGGATCGACAAAACAAGATTCGTAAGAACGGATGGGTGGATGCGGACCGATCCCTGGGTCGGTGTCGATGATGACCTTCTTCTTCTTGGTCACGGCGGCCATGGACATGGATCCCTGGATCGGATTCTTGGGGATCGGGGCAGCGCCGGTTGTGCAGGCGGATCGAGCGAGGTGGAGACGGAGATGGAGATGTGTACACGTCTCGCTCACAGGCAGTGATGCGGCTGGCTCAACTCGAGAGAGGGAAAGCGGCGCGGCCGACCTCTCCGGGCAGTAGTATATCCCAAAAGGAAAGGCTGTTGGAGATCCACGGGGCCCCAGCCGGCCAGCCCAGATCGATCCACCCATGACCCATGGTTCCGATGGGCAGCCTTGTCACCATCATTTCCCTGTTTCTAGAGCACCATACACCTTCTTTTAGAATAGGGGTACACGTCGGACATGCACAATCTAAGTAATTTTTTTTCAAATGCTAACAGTCTTTTTCTCTTTAACATCAGTACAGACACAGACATTCATGTATACACATATACGCTCATATATACACATATACATTCACCCATATGAACGCGCACACGCACATCCTACCCCGATGAGCATCTCTGAAAGACTGGGTCAGCATATCATCCTCGTAATCGACGAGAACGTCTTCTTTCACTGAACGCGTATCGCCGAAAATTCTAAAATAAATTCAGGATAAATACGAGCAACAAAACTTTTTCAATTAATTCGCTCAGGGATTGTCACGGCGCGAACAAGCCTTATCCTCGGCAGCTTCGTTTCTATCCAACGAAAATCTCACCCGCTCCCCTTCTCCCCACCACCAGCGCGCCATCAAAGGAACTCGCCGCGCCATTCCTCCACCTCCCCTCAACTCTGGTACGTGGATCTCGCCATGCCTTTTCCCTCCACCTCCTCCCGACTGCATCACACCTCTGTTGCCTGAAACCCGCCACCTCGATCAACCATCAGCATATCATAGGAGACTCATGGCCGCTAGCCACCATGCGTTGCATCTTGTCATTCTCCTGGTTATTCATCGGAAATTGCAGCGAAAATGAGTGAATCTACACTTTAAAATATGTCTATATACATCCGTATGTGGTAACCATTTGAAACCTCTAGAAAGACAAATATTTAGGAACAGAGGGAGTACATTATTATCTTTCATAGTCCTTTTATCTCCTCTCACCTTATTTGAATTTACCAGTACATATTTTACCTCTTACCTTATTACTTCTCATCTATTACGGACACATTCTGTCTTGATGACGAGAGTCGTTCATTTATAAAAAAATATTATGTATGTGGCGCTACACAAAAGGATCTCATTGTTGGTTTCATTTGACAGTGTCAAGATTTCTTCCTATGAAGAACATCGACGAGACCAATATGATTTGCTCATATTTTCCCATCATCTACTTCTTGGAGATGCCAGTGAAGAAAGGATGATGTATTATTTTACCTGGAGTTATTGGATGAGTTGTTTTGGCACACTAGTTTTGTTTTGGCACACTAGTTTATGAAGTGATTGGTGGTGTCTTGTAGAAGCCGCCACGCCTTCTTGAGGAGGATGCCAACTCCACCGCGCGATCATATCATGTCCGGGTCAGTCCGTTTAGGGTAAAACGGACATACCAGACGGCCCAGCGCGCAACCCTATCCTAAAAAACGTCCGTTTTTTGTCCGCTTCGCCCCATCCTGGGAGCAAAGTTGGGCTGGCTTTGGGTCTGAAACGGACACGAGCGGACGCTCTCTGCGTCGTTCTCGTCCGGTGCGTGTCCTTTTGCATGTGACCTTGACCCGCCTGTCATTGACCCACACACACACCCACCCATTCCTCTCTCTCTCCTCCTTTTCTCTCCCTGGCCCACCACGCACCCACATCACCAAGAGGCAGGGCAGCCGCGGGCGCCGAGAGCACGCAGCGCTCCAGCCGGCCGGCCTCGCCTCGCCGTCATTGAGGCCCCACCGCCGCGGCCGGCGAGCAGGCGCAGGCAGGGGCAGCAAAGGTGCGGCTGGAGCGGGGCAGCAAGGTGCGCGAGCGGCGCGGCGGTGAGC